TCGTGGTGTTTGGGTCGACAAGGCGCCGGTGTCGCAGGTCAACAAGGAGTCCATAATGTTGTAGAAAGTCCGCCCCGAGTATAGGTTTCGACACATCTGCGATGATGAAGCGCCAGGGAAATTCTCGCCGTAGACCGAGGTTCAAGGTTAGGTTGATTCCTCCGTAGGTGGCGATGTCTGAGCCGTTTGCAGCGCTGAGTGTGTATGAAGATCGAAGGGTGCGAGTTGCAGTGCGTGAGCGAGGAAAAACACATACGTCAGCACCTGTGTCGATCAAGAATCGGAGTTGGGAGTTGGTGTCGGTTATGAAGAGGCGGCTTGTTTTCGGGCTCTTGTCATCTGTTGCCGCGTTTAATGACTGCCCTTCTCGTTTCCCTGGTTGAATTGGCAAGGTTGGCTGCATTTCTTCGCTTCCCTTCCATATGTGTGATGGTACCAGCAGTATTCCTTCTCGGATTGACGTGAAGAGTGGGAACGGGATGACGAGCGTGAGCGTGACTGGCCGCGATGAAAGGATCGGTTCCGACCTCTGCGAGGAGTGTTGCGTTGGGCGAGTGCTGATATTTCTTCCCGCAGAGTGAACGTCAGCTGGGCCATTTTAACGTTGAGCAACGCGTCGATTTGTGCGTTAATGCTGGCTAAGCTGACGGCCTCAGCGATTTGCGGATGAGGGAGAGTCGCGTCAGCTATCACATCGGCCAGCTCCGACAATTTTTCTAGCTCGGCGTCCCTCTGAGCAGCCAGGGCCACCTGCATCGCTTGTGGAAGTCGGCTGATCCAGATGGTCTTCAGCATCGAGTCCGGAACAGATGTACCTGCAAGGTCACTTAAATACCTTAAAAATTGTGAGGGCTTGCGATCGCCCAGAGTTTCCTTCTCCAACAGCTGTAGTGTTTTCCGTTCCTGAGAGGTGCTCAGCCGTTTGATCAGCTCTTTTTTCAGATGTGTGTAAGGCTCGGCTGCTGGCGGGTTGAGAATGATGTCGCGGACCTCGGTTTGGTATTTTTGGTCGAGTGCACCGATGATGTAGCCGAATTTGGTATCCTCTTGGACGATCTTGGATACCCCGAAGCTTCGCTCCACGACGGCAAACCACAATGTAGGGTCCTCTGGGTTGAATGGCGGGATGCGGACACCTATTGCGTTCACGTTGGCGTTGGCGACGGCGTTGGTGTTGACGTTTTCCATTTTGATAGTGGCTTCAGCATCCGGGTTNTTGGTGTTGACGTTTTCCATTTTGATAGTGGCTTCAGAATCCGGGTGTTGAGCGTTTCTTCAGATCACGTCGAGGTCACCAATTGTGGGAAATATTATTTATTACAACAGTAAATTTACAGTATAACAAATAATAATTTAAACTGATTAACTATAAACAATGAACAACGAACAAAATGAACAATTTATGAAAATGATAACTGATGACTGATCACTGGACACTGTGGTTTGATGATTGATAACTAGGAGCAACGGTCCCACTTCTTATATAGGCGGTAGAATGTTCCAGAACAATCGACCGCCGAAGAATCTTCTAGAGGCGGCGGCGGTCGAACGTTCTAGAACATTCGGCCGCCACAATTATAAATTTAAAAATCGCTAATTTTCAAAATTTTTTCAATTTTTTTTCTAAAAACTGCCATAACTTTTTCAAAATTGACCGAATCAATATAATTTTTTTTTATATATGCTTGATGTCTTTACCTATCATTTGGTATATTTTTTTTATAAATTTAACTCTACCTGCCCACAGGGGGGGGATTTAAAATGACAACTTTTTCACAAAAAATAAACATTTTCAACTTAACTTTTGAAAGTGTCCCGGAAGGTCTGACACTTTTATATATATCTTAAATTAAAGCTAATGTAATGTACTTTATTATGAAAAAATAAAAATTTTACCTCTGGACTTGTCTTTATGGTGAAAATGGCTACCAAATGCTATTTTCGTATGAAAATTCTTGATTTTATTTTTTGCATTTTTAACATTATAATGCTATAACTTATTGAAAAGTGTATGGATCAACACAATTTCTTTATGAGAAATAATATTTTTTAATAATCTCATTTTTCATTCAGGATATTAATAAGAAAATAGAAAATCATGTAGCTTTTGGAACAATCCACCAATTTTTTAAAATTAAACACTATCTAAAGATTTGCATCGAAGCTTTTTTTTTGTTAGTGATTTTAATCACTGTTAGATATTATCTATACTTGTCTCAACTATACCACGTTCATACTGTACCGCAACCACACTATGCTGCCGTTTTAGCTTCGATGCGAAGCTGAGAAGGTATTAATTTTACCATGATGTGTGTTTTTTTTTTTATGTCTGTTACCACTTTTTCTCTGCTCTCACTGGACCGATTTCTTTCAACAATACGTCAAAAGATCACAAATCGTATCTAGTTGAAGACATTACCCTTAAAAATTGAAAAATTTTCTCTAGTTCCTCGCAAATGGGGGAAATCTCCAAAAAAATCACAAATTTAAAAATCGGTAAATTTTGTCATTTTTTTCACTTTTTTTTCTTAAAACTTCCATAACTCTTTGAAAAATAAACAAATCAACATAATTTTTTTTTCTACTAAAACCTTAGATATTTCCCTTTCGTTTGATATCATTTTTTTGAAGATCTAATACTTAACCTGCTCATTAGGGGGGATTTAAAATAGCAATTTTTATACAAAAACTAACTTTTCAACTTAATTTTTGAAAATGTTCCGAAAATACTGCGTCCTTTAAACATATATAAAATTAAAGCTTATTTTATGTACTATAAAATAAAAAAAAAAAAAAATTTGTCCCGACATCTTATCTACTATGTGCAAATTGCTGTCGAAATTTAAAAAAAATGTAATATTTGCGATACAAATCACCTTCTATAAGGATGTTTTTTGTACCATAACTTTTTCAAATATTAGCAAATCAAAATAATATTTTTTTATATTGAAACCTTAGGTAATTTTCTTTTGTTTGATATCATATTTTTTGAAAATATAACACTTATTCTGCTCACAAAGAGGATTTAAAATAGCAACTTTTTTTCAAAAAATTAACTTTTTCAACTTAACTTTTGAAAATGTTCCGGAAACACTGTCATTTTTATGTATATCTTAAATTAAAGCCTATGTAAATATACTTTAATATTAAAAAAAAATTTCGGACTTTATTTTGTTTTCATGGTGAAAACAGTCATCAAAGTTAATAAAAAAAAATACGATTTTTGTAAAAATATTATTTTTCATATTTTTAACTTCATAACGCTATAACTCTTTGAAAAATGTATGGATGAATACAATTTTTGTATGAGAATTAATATTTATATACCTCTTTAATTCGACTTACTTTTTTTTTTAATCGGACAATTTCCCTTAATACAAAGGGGTTCAAAACATAAAAACGCATATAGAATGTAGAACTTTTTCAACTTAATTTTTGAAAGTGTTCCGGAAATACTGACACTTTTATATATATCTTAAATTAAAGTTCATGTAAAATACTTTAATATAAAAAAAAAAAATTTTGTACTTTATTTTGTCTTCTTGGTGAAAATAGCTACTGTATTTAAAAATATGCTATTATTGTGTTAAAATTCTTGGTTTTGTATTTTATTTTATTATAAGAGATTACACTGATTTTCATAAATATTATATCAATCTAAATGACGTAGTATAAAAAATTAATCATATTTAAATTTTTTTGTTCCTTTGAAGTCGAGAAAAATAACTTTAAAATTTGAACTAGCTAAATTTCCATTTTTATTAAGTGACGAATGAGACGTACGGTTTTTGAGACGGTAATACTTGGGTCTTTCACGACTGTGGCACTGAATTTTTTTTTAATTCTTTTTTAGTTAAAAAAAAATTTTTAACTCATTTGATTTTTATCTCATTTTATATTTTACTCAATAACTTCAATAAATATCAAGGATTCCATTACTGTAGTCTCCTCTCGTGAGAAGAAATTCATATTAATATTATTTTACTATGTGGTTTTTTTTATGTAGCTATCATTTATTTTCTCAGCTCTCATTTGACCTACTTTTTTGACAAATTTTTTTTTTTTAATTAAACACTATCTACAGATTTGCATCGAAGCGTTTTTTATGATAGTGATTTTAATCACTGTCAGATATCATCTATACTGGACCCAACTATGCCACGACCCCACTGTGCTGGGTTTTTTTTAAACTATATTTATTTTTCACTTTTTAGTTTTTTATGACATTGCTGTTACAGTCACGGAATGTTTATTGTCAATTATCACTAGCAATAGATAAAATTTCTGTATTGCCAGTTAGTGTGTTAATAAACTCACAATAATGTGTCTTATTACCATTGATAATAAAGGCTATATGCTTGCTAATATCGTTATAAAAATCCAGTTAACTTAAAAAAATTTGAATCTTTAAATGTTTATATTTAATAACAAATAATACAAATTATTATAAAATATATATATAAAATAGTGTAATCGGTGAGTGGTGAGCGAGGTGAGGTGAATGCGTAACGACAGTCTATTCTCAAGGCCATATACGACGGGATACGCGACATAATAACACGTGGTGCGTGGAGTTAGAAACTTACAACAAACAACTAACATACATGTGAAACTAATATAAGCGTGTTAAAAAAAAAAAATTACTAAATTTGATCAAAGTTAAATTCTTGTACAATATGATTAGTTACTGCCATATGACTGATACTGTTAATTTGATTAATTCATATACTTTAAATACATATATGTTTAACTACGTTAATAATAAAATATATTGCATTTCTGCTATTTTAGCTTGAATAATGCACATTTAAATTACATATATTTTGTGATAAAAATCACCTATTATTTTTGTTTTTCTGTTTAGAATGACAGTGTTTATATAATAGATAATAGTAATACCACGGTTAAAAATTTCAAAATTGACCGTTGATGAGATTTTTCACCAAACCGAACATTATGTCGTATTTATTAAAGCTAATAAATGTTTAATACACTTTCAGATAAATTTTACGGTTCAAGGTTAGAAATATGTATCTTTCAAACAGATATTCTGAAAGTAGACACAAGAATAAAACATCCCAGTGTAATTATTCATTTTGTTGATCTTATTTTATGGGAATATTTGAAAAAGTCAAATAATGGCGATGTTGAAATAATAAAAGAGACATCTTATATGAATCCAGTATTAACTAAAGAATTTAATTTTAAAGCAAACAAGTAGAGTATTTATATATAATTTTAAAATAATATAATGAAATTAGTATATTTGAAAAATTAATAACATTCATGAATAAAAACAAAAATATATCCAATGGTTTAACTTGGTTTGTGACAATATACAGAATAGAAATTGTTTCGTTGTGTGATTATTCATAACTTGCCTAGTCTTGTTTCTATGAATCAAAGCATATTTTAAGAATTTTTAATTAGGCAGCTCAAATAACAATATTAAAAATGGATAATTTATTGGTTTTAAAATTGAGTATTAAGTTTCTTTATTTCTTATAAAGAAAAATCTTAATAAAATACACTATGCTCTAAAATTTTTTAATATTTGATATAAATAATTTATATATTTTTTGTATTATAAGTATATAAGATAAAGGTAAATATATAACATGTAAACTTGATAAGAATTCACCCATTAGCAACACTTGATATTTAAATATTAATCATTTATTTCTTATATATATAATTTTTTGAATACATGCAACTAATGAGTTTATAACAAATCACCTCATTTCTTTTTTAGTCTACAATGAGGATTTTTTAAGAGTATGGAGTATGGATAAGTTCTTTATTAAGGAATTGGAATGATTTTGAAATCGTTTAGAGAAAATTAAGTATTAAATGTATGCTTCTTCCTTAATAGTTTCAATAGCAATATCATTTTTAATGGTTAAGTTAGAGACATATGATGGAGTATTAGAGATTTGTTGAAGTGTTATATTATGGAACGATTGAATTCTGTTTGATTTTTTAGCAGTGCCCCAAAGTTGAAGTCCGTATGTCTAAATAGGTTTGAGTAGCGTTTTGTAGATTAAAAGTTTTGTTTTTAGACTAATAAAGTTATTTTAATTTAAAAGGATCTTCGAATGTCCATTCATTTATTAAGGGTTATCTCGTATTGGGAATATGATATGAATATGACTTCAGATTAGTTCTTCATCTAAGATGATTCTCAAGTATTTGAGTATCCGAATTGGAAATTGGGATATTATTTAATGTAACGTTATGATATATACCTAGTTTAAGTGTTAACGTTGTGTGAATTGATTTATTTTTCATACCACTTAGGCATAAGGTTAAGAAGTAATTGCAAGTTAGAGGAAGCAGTTAATGAGTCTACGCCAATGGACATAATAACTTTGTTATCAATAAAACCAGTAATAGATGTCTGTTGGAGAATGGGCTGATCAGAACTGTAAATATTAAAAAGTCAGGAAGATAAAATTCCTCCGTGGGGAACACCAGAATTAATTTTAGTAATACTAATTTGGCGGTTGGTAAGAAAGTAGAGCATAGAATGAGTGTAGCAGAGATGAAATTGCTATGATGAATAAGTGGAGTGACTAGAGAAGAGAGAATAAGGAACGAACATATAAGAGAGAATATAGGTGTGGTGTTAATCGTGGATTAGATGAGAGAAAATAGACTTAGATTGTTTGCTCATCTTATGAGGAGAGAGGAATCTGAAGCTGTAAGAATAGTTATAGCAATGAATGTTGAAGGAAGAAAAGATAGAGGAAGACCAAAATAGAGATGGAGGGGTGTAATGGAATGCGATATGAGGACAGCTGATATTGGTGATCGTATCAAGTGGAAGTTACGATAAGGATGATCGACCCCAAGTTGTTGGGATTAAGCCGAGGAAAAAGATGAAGACTAGATGTAGAGGAATAATACTTGACCCAAAAGTGAAGGTCAGATAGGTATGATTAACTAAAAAGAATAGGAGAGTAGAAAAGGTTTTTTTAGCTTAAATAAAAACCTATTGTGACTGACATGATCAAATACCTGTGAAATATCTAAAAAAAATATAAGTGAAGTATTGATTTTTTTCCAGAGTTTTAGTATCTACCATTTGGTATATTTGATATATTGTACTACGTGATGCTCGAAACCCAAACTAAATATTTAGGAGTATGTTATTATCTTTAACATGCTGTATTATTCTTTTTAGAATAAGTTTTTTAAGTATTTTTGATAGGAAAGGCAGGAGATTAATTGGCTTAAAGAAGGTAAGGATGTCCGAAGGTTTATTTGGTTTAGCGAAGAAAATTATTTCTGAGAATTTCCACAGAATAGAAAAGTATGACATTCTTAATGTTGCATTAAAAATATAAGCTATAAAGATAATTGATTTTCTAGGAGACATCTGACGACTTTAGCAGTAATTAAGTCATAGCCAGGCGATATTTTTAAGGAATACTTTTAAATTGTCTGTTTGACTTCATTTGGTTTGAAGTACATTTCCGAGACACTATTGGAGTAGGATTCCTTTAAAAAGCGTTTACTTCAGTAGAATGTTAAGGTATAAGTATATCATAAGGTTGAAAGGTTTGGCGTAAAGGAGATTTAAACATCTCAGCTTTATCTGTCCTAGTGAAAGCAAATGAATTGTCAGATTTCTTTATAGAAGTTGAGTGTTTTGTTTAAAGTAGCTTTTTAATTTCACTTTATAATCTTCCATTCAAGGAGAATAGTTAGTTTTATTTTCAAGATTATCAGACTTATGTTTAGCCAATATTGTTTTTATTGAGTTATCTAGTTTATTATATGTACTTTTATGAGTTGGTAGTTGATTAAATTGGTAGCATTCTTTGGCGTATTTTTTTTCGACTATTTATAAGCATACTTGATTAGAGATAAGGTTAAGAATTAGGGGTAAGTTAAGCCTATTGGTTTTGTATGGGTTGGTTGTCTGTAGGTTCATTCTATCAGAGAAAATTATTGACGACAATCAATTCAATTAAGCCCGAGCATAAACGAACAAAGTGAATAACGCCTATTACAATAACTATGAAAAACTTCTAAACAATGTTTCAAGGCTATTTTGAATTTATATCTCGGCAGCCCAAACATGAGTTAATCTGATATTGTACAAAATGAATGAATACCAACATCATCAAATTTTTAGTAATAAGTTTCTTAAGCTACAATTATCCTTAACTCTACTTCTTTCCCCATCATTTTATTTTTATTATATAATTACAATTGTTATCAATGATTCGTGGAGGGAAAAAAATAGATAAGTGTGTGTGTGCCTGTATGGCGGTTCTAGTGAAACATTTTTTTTAGTGTTACACATATAAATATCTGTTTTTTTTTTTTTTGCAATATTCCTTAATAAAGAGTGTGTTTATTTCATAATATAGTTATTCTATAACATTTCAGAAGTGGGATTATTTTTAAAACTAATATTCGGTATATTAGTTCTACGCTTACAAAGTGGAGGGGAAATCGAGTGCGGGAGTTGTATTAATTAGCAAGTGGTAGAGTTTTGGCTTTTTATTCACCAACCTGAGGGTTAAGGGTGCGAAGAGAGTACCGAGAAAAACAGGTACATTATTTCTTTTGTTTTTGTTTGTCCGATCGACGCGAATGGCCGATTTGAATTTACAGTTGTTTAGTAAGCTCGAGTGTAAGAGCGTCTAAGTGAGGTTAGGCAATCTAGTGTTGCTTGGAGCTACAGTATCACGGTGTAACGGTGGTCACGCCGCGGTTGATAACGCGAATCAAAACGTATTAATTTATTATAAGTGATAATATTCGATTTTCGGTTCTCAGGGCACTAACGGTTATACGAATTAGTTGTTTATTTATTTATTAATATTTTTTTTGTGTGTGTTGTTTTCGTTTAAGAAAATAATTTGTGAGTGTTCGGTTCCCAGCGAATAAAATGACTGATGAGGAAACAATACGCGCACGAACATACACCGAACTTATTAAACTTATAAATAATCTGAAGGCCCAGGTGGATGGATGTCTTACAAAGTGCTACATCGACTTCCTCTACTGTTGCAGCTAGTGAGTATGCGAGACTGAATACAGAACCAATATCTCAAATGGAGTATACAGTAATACCGGATCTCAATCAGTCTGTGAGACCGTTCACTGGCCGGGAAGAGCCACACATAGCTGAAGACTGGCTTAGATCAGTGGGAAATTTGGTGGATATAAATATGTGGCCTCTGTCATTTAGGCTACAATTTATTCGAACAAATTTGCGAAGAACTTGTTTATTGACAGAGAGTTTTTGAACTGGTTAGATTTTCAAAGTAAATTTAGAGGCACATTTATACGTGAAATAAGACTATCGGAACGTTGGGATGTCATGCAGCATCGCGTTCAAGTCAAAATTGATGAGGTTAAGGAACCTTTAAAGTTTATGGTAGTGGATTGCAATAAACAGAACCATGATATCATAATCGGTAGAAATTTTACAGACCGGGAAGGAGTAACTTTTGTAAAAACTATAAATGGATTACATTTTGGATATGGAATTGAATTCCCATTTGAGAAAGAAGCAATCATTGATGACAGCATGGAGGTGAAAAATCAAGAAGTACTAATTGTTCAGAAGGTTGGCGGTCTAGAAGAAATTACTATGGACAAGGCCAACTATAATTCTAATTTCAACCAGAGACAAGTAAACGAACTTGTTAATTTGCTAAATGAGTTCCGAATATGCTTTGCGTTTAGTTTACAAGAGTTAGGGTGTACTAGTTACTTGACTATAGACATTGTGGATACAAATTTGCTAGTGGTAAGCAAGCTGTATAGAATCAGCACTTCAGAAAGGAGAACAATTGACTCCATAGTACAAGAATGGAAAGATGAAGGGTTAGTAACTGAAACTAAGTCACCTTATGCATCACCAGTTCTACTTGTGCCAAAGAAAGATGGGGAACAACGTTTTGTGATAGATTACAGGAGATTAAATGCTCAATCGGTCAAAAAAAATTTTCCTACGCCAAATGTAGATGACCAGTTAGAAGCACTGTGCGGATCTACTTTATTTACAACATTAGATTTGTCAGCTGGTTATCTGCAGGTAGATAGTTGACTGAAGCTGCAAAAGAAAAAACTGCGTTAATAACACTTATAGAGACTGGTCAATTCGAGAGAATAGTGATTGGGTTAGCAAATGCACCATATGAATTTTGCAAGTTAATGCAACAAGTGATGGGAAATCTAAGAAATAAAATAGCAGT